TCAGAACAGTCGACGACAATCTTATCGTTAAAAGTGATCGTCGATGTAGCACATCTCTTTTTAGGCGTCTTGTACAAGTGAGCCTAGAACTTTATAAGTCGATAATACTCTATTCGGTTCCTATGTTTGCTGCGAATATGCAAGTACTATTGATTGTCCATAAAAATAACTTGTCACACTGAAAGCAGAATAAGAGCAACTATATACATTTGGCCTTAAACTATATGTCGTATGTTGTACAGCCAGCAAAGTACCAAACTGAAGACATTAAAGATGAGGACAAAAACATAGTTGATTTGCATTGTGTGAATTGTAGTAAAATTATCAGCCAGGTTGAACGGAGTCGAGGAAAGGAAAAGAAGCAAGTAAAAAAAAAAGGCCAGACAAAACCCCTTGCCTCGTTCGTTGTTCGAAAACGCGTATCTTTAAATTGTTTAAAACGTTATAAACCTCCACACCTCGACACCTTCGGCGCGAGCTTGACGATCGACGTTTCCGTAACGATGAAATGAATTATTCGAGTCGTTCAACGATTTCAAAGCAAGGGGTTGAAAGAATACGAGTCGAAGCGAGAACAAAGTCGTAATTAGGTGATACCGGGAAATGTTTGAACGACTTGGGACAATTAACCTTCTGATGCCGTAGCAATGAGTTATCTTTTCTTTCAGCAGAGCACAAAAGGGACACTTCGTTCCGAATGTTTGCATTCAACGAGGCATCAAAGGGCTAATACGAACACGGGAGAGAAGAGGGGGGGATTTAGAAGGGAGCAGCAGCGCAAACGAAGGGAAAATAGTATGCCCAACGGCTTGAATGAATGTCTCTTCGCTGTGTCAGAGCATCGACTGGCACCCGGCAAAAGAAAAACGAAAACAGCACGGATCTGCGCGAAACAAGCGAGTAGAGGCTCGCGCGACTCGCAAGCAAAACTGCGATAAAACAGAACAGAGACAGGCGAAATAGATATACACGTTGGAGAGACAAACAATCAGAAGACAAAACTTAGGGCTGGACAAAAACAAAAGAGGCAGACAGAGTTAAAATAAAAAATTGTCTTTTTTTTCAATAAGAAAGAAAAAGTCAAGGTGAGCGTGAATCAACGTTCAGAAAGTAGTAATGTTAAGAGCGAAGAGAAACTGGTAAATAGAGAAACCAAGTACGTCAAACTGGAAAGCAACAGTAAAAGAAAAAGAAAAAGAAAAAAAAAAAAAAAAAAAGAGACAAACTGGTTAATGGAAAAACAAAGGTAAATATATATATAGTATGTATATAAAAAAATAAAGAATTAATATTTAAGAACGGTCAAACAGTGCGGAGATTGGACTTGCGGACTAACCATATAGTAATCCTGAGAGGGGGATCTGCCTGTCACAGATACATTCTGCACCAGAGTTCTATTGCTCGTCTGAAAGTAGGTTACACATTCAATTTACATAATTAGCTTAACTGAGTGGTATCTATAATACTTGTGTTTTGTTTCTATGGCTTACATGGTAACTCGCAGAGACGCAATTGGTGATTTGTGTTAATTTCTTTTTCATGATTTATTTATCTTTGTTTGCCGCGCTAGGTCGAGAATAGTGTTACGAGAGTAAGAAGAAAGGAAATAAGACAGAAAGCGAAGTAAGTGAACAGAATAAAGAAAGTGAAGATATCTTGGCGAGTATCGTCGCGATTATCATTCCTCTTTCGTAGTAATTGCCTTGGATCATGCGAACACGTCCCATCGCGCGCTAACGAATCACTGTAATCGAGAGATCGGTTCCCACTTTCGGGAAAGAATGGCGTACGTCGCATGTCCAAAGGCGTTCTCACAGTGAATTAAAATCGGTTGCCTCGCGACTGTGTAAAGTAATGCCGTTTACACGATCGCGAGTCGCGGTTTGATCAAGTAGGCGCTAGCTTCATCAGACTTAACCCGTTCCCTTTGAGAAAAACCAAAAAATGGGGTGGCGGGGCGAAAAAAATGAAAAGAAAAATACAAGACACAGGCGTTGTCGACGAGGAAGGGCTGCTTGTTTGTCCTTTCCGACTCTCGCTCGAGCATCGATTCCTAAGTTGTCCTCATTCCATCGCTAAACTTGTTTGGTGCATTAAAATTATCACGTGCAGAGTGTTCCATTTATCGCGAATGCCTTAAATATCTCCGATGCCAGCGAAGATACGCGAAACCGACTAACCGTGCAACTTCCTCTTGGTCTCGTGTGTTCGATGGCAGCGGAGACGTTTCAAATTCACGTGATAAATGCGACAGCCTGTACAATAAGAGCATTGTGGTGTTACTGTCACAGTCTGAATCTTGAAAATTCCTTGTATATTAATTAACAGTGTCGGTAAACGAGTCTGTCAGTTAACGAGATCCTAATAAATTCTCTGTCCATGTTAAACATATTCTTGTGTTTCTGTAAACAACGTTAACGAGAGCCTTTAAACACCGTTTTCCGTATTAAGCGTTCCTCCTGGAAACTGCCACGTATCGCTTCTCGATTCTTCGTTTGTGTCCCTTGGTCACAGGATCCCTTGAAACAATATCTTGAAGGAGTTCGAGAGTACTAAATCACAGTTACAGAAAACCGTCCGTGATCCGAGAAATGAAAGACCCGTTGACGAAGGAGAGCGTGATCCGACGTAAGCTTTGGGACAGAAAGATGGGTCGAGGACTGCGTGGACCACTGCTAACTTGATAACAATTGATCGGATCTGTGCCGCTACGTCGAGCAAATTGATGACTAGAGATCTATAAGGCCTACGTGCTCAGATTCTAGGGGTCTCAACGATTAGACACAAGCCTGAGAGATCTACCATAGCGGTTTCTAAAGCCCTACAGCGGGTGGATTCGTCGTCGAACTTTACGACGACCTTTGCTCGTTCCTAGCGACTCTACGAAGCTCAAACTGACCGAACGGAACTCGCTTTAAAAGTATTTTTCTCGATTTACAGTGGCCCGATAAAGAAGCAGAGATCAACGGACCGAACGACCCCAAAAAGTGGTCCGAGTAGGTAATCGCTTTTAGGAACGGGCAAAGATCAACGATCTCGCGGTCGTGCTGCTCGATCCTCGATTCGATTAAATCACCGACCGATTCCCCGCGCCACAATCAACTCCTTCGAATCGTCGTTCCAAAAAGCATAATTTTGTTCATCGAAGGAGCGCCTTCCTAATGGGAACTTAGGTCTCCTGCAAAATATATGGACATGAGTTCAACAGACGACACAAAACAGGAGGGGGATTGTTCTCGAAGGGATTAATCGAGACATCCTTGATCGTGCGACACGAAAGTTGTTCTTCGAGAACAACGATTGTTTCTTGAAAAATCTCGGGATACGTTCACCGATCGTTACGTGGCAGTGAGCGCATTAACCCTTTATAAGTCGTCCACAACAGAGGCTCGACCTTCGAGACTTGCTAGAAATATATTTGTCCTGAGTCTGGGGAAGCTTATTCGCTCTGAAATAGAAAGGAACACGGTTAAGTCCCTTGTTCTCTTAGAAAATAATCAACCACGATCGGGGAACTCAAACCTCCACCAACGAGGTTTGAAATGTTGCAAAGAATCGTTCAAGGGACGAAGCGTATCGCCACTGAAGTTTTTCTCCGCCTTATAAAGGGTTAAAGGTTAACTTCAGTCACGACAGAGGATACGTCGTCGACACACTGGGATGAACTTAGATGCGCGAAACGAGCATCGCAAGATCTATTCGTCGTTAAAATACGATCGTTCGAAGATGGGAAATGCAAGAACGTCCTGAAGACGATCCGGACATGGCTCTCCACCACTTCAACTTGGGACGGTTCGCTTCTCATCGCCGAGCTTTTGTTTTTTTTTCTTCCTTCGCTCGAACATATTATTCGTGGCTAACACAGAATCGCAAGATCGGCCAAGAGGGTAACGTAAGGTACGCATCGTCGAGGTAACACGGCAAAGAACTCAAATGAAAATGCAAACCAAGGTAAATAACGTTATAAAAACAACCGGGTAAAATAAAATTAAAGAAAACGTATGAAACAAAGTATATACAGGACGGATCGTTTAAACGGCAACGCTTTGAATATCTTCGTGTTTCATATCTATGCGAAAACACCATCTAGAACAAAGCCAAACTGTCAGGAACGATCAAAATCATCCCAAAGGTTGTTCTTTCTTGAGACTTTAAGAGGATCAATGTCTTTTTTAGCGAAACCATTTGACGGATTAGTTCTCCATTCTGTGTCTGAAAGTATAAAAGTATCCATTTAAAAAATATCGATGACTTTAAAATCTCAGAAAAGAAAGGTTTTGTCTTATTGTTCCGTTTGCCTGTTCCAAATAGTCTCTCACATATTTATAAACAACGGAGACCCTTAGACGTTCCCATTTAAATGTCCGTTCTATATGCGAATGCACTTTTAACTGTACACGTATACAGGGTGTAGTGCAGCGTATGTTCGCCGCTTCGGGGAAGGATCCGGGACATCGAACCGACGAACAAAATATTGCACAACAATTTGTAGAACACATTATCGAGAAAAGCAGGTTTCCAATTTCTGAGGAAAAGTCCCAATGGGACAAATACCGAGACGCATGGTCGTGCAAATTTTTGTAACGATCGTTGGCGTCTCCGAGTCGACCTTCGACCCGGAGGAAGCGGCGTCCATACGTTGCCGTGCACTCTGTACAGGCGATCATGGTAAAAAGAGAACAATTTGTTGTTGCGATAACATGGTATTTCGGGCGTTGTAATATACACACAACGGTGGTGTACGCGTGTTTAAGAACGTTGAACACAGCCGGCCGGCGGTGACGAATGGTGTTCGTCACCCCTAGAAAGCGGCGCCAGGGCGTCGACGGAGGATCGTCGACCCGAGGCCCGAAGAATATGTCGAAGCGTCGCGCGGCTGTTCTCTTATCATCGTCGTTCTTGTCATGTTCTCTAGCTTTCCCGGGGACAGGGAGGGGGGACCCGAGAGAACGCTGACTTCGAGTGATGGTGGCATGAGAGTGAGAGATAGGGATAGTTACCTGTGTCTGTAGTCGTGTTAGACCACGGAGCCATAGAATTTGTCCTTTGCGCGGCTTTTTATCCGAGTCGGGGTCGAATTTCTCATCTCCGAGATTGATCGCACCGATATCATCCGGCTGGCCGCGGCCCCATCTGTTTTTAAAAAACATGAAACCAATTCTTCATCACTCGATCCCTGTTACATTGGTCTATAATCAAAGTAGGTAGGTTTTTTTTTGTTTTGTTTGTTTGTTTTTTTTTTTTTTTTTGGATTATTATTATTTTTTTTTTTTGTGGCTGATGATGCGCATCGGTCAAAGCTCGCAGAGCCGGCTCCTCGACGCACTGCACCCGAAATTTTCACTGTTTTACGTTTTCCCCTCGCTCCTTAGCTTGGACACCTAACCACGGTCTCTAACGGTGTCGACGATGCTGGCAAATTTATCTTATTAATTTTATTATTGTTTTTTTTCTCTCTCTTTTTTTTTTTTTACTGGCGAGAATCGATCGGCGGCGGCGCAACGGTGATCGGAAGTGGCCGAGAAAGGAAAGCAGACGGACAAAGAAATACGCAGGCTGTTTCAGTGCAATTTATGGTAATTTCAGTTAGCGAACCCTCGAATCCAGAAACGTCTTGTTCGACTTCGACGACAAACGGTAAGTTAGCGGGCAAGCTACGCCACTCACTGAAAGCAGAAGTAGTTTTAACGATAGCTCAAACTATGATGAGTCTGGAGAAATTTCTCCTCTGAGATTCGAACCGACAGCTTTTGAAGTTTCAACCCATGACACTGACAGTGTAGAATTATTTTAACCCCTCAACGTAACTGTTTCTTTACTATGCCTCAAAGTCAATTTCTAAGATAAATTTGCATTTGGAAAGCGTTGTAATCACAATCGATCAATATCTGAATAGTGTGCAATTTGTACTTTATTATGATATAGCTTTGTTCATAATAAAGAAAGTAAATATTTCGTTGTTTATTGAAGCAGTTATGTTGGCGATTTCAACCCCTCAACGTAACTGTTTTTTTACTATGCCTCAAAGTCAATTTCTAAGATAAATTTGCATTTGGAAAGCGTTGTAATCACAATCGATCAATATCTGAATAGTGTGCAATTTGTACTTTATTATGATATAGCTTTGTTCATAATAAAGAAAGTAAATATTTCGTTGTTTATTGAAGCAGTTATGTTGGCGATTTCAACCCCTCAACGTAACTGTTTCTTTACTATGCCTCAAAGTCAATTTCTAAGATAAATTTGCATTTGGAAAGCGTTGTAATCACAATCGATCAATATCTGAATAGTGTGCAATTTGTACTTTATTATGATATAGCTTTGTTCATAATAAAGAAAGTAAATATTTCGTTGTTTATTGAAGCAGTTATGTTGGCGATTTCAACCCCTCAACGTAACTGTTTTTTTACTATGCCTCAAAGTCAATTTCTAAGATAAATTTGCATTTGGAAAGCGTTGTAATCACAATCGATCAATATCTGAATAGTGTGCAATTTGTACTTTATGATATAGCTTTGTTCATAATAAAGAAAGTAAATATTTCGTTGTTTATTGAAGCAGTTATGTTGGCGATTTCAACCCCTCAACGTAACTGTTTCTTTACTATGCCTCAAAGTCAATTTCTAAGATAAATTTGCATTTGGTAAGCGTTGTAATCACAATCGATCAATATCTGAATAGTGTGCAATTTGTACTTTATTATGATATAGCTTTGTTCATAATAAAGAAAGTAAATATTTCGTTGTTTATTGAAGCAGTTATGTTGGCGATTTCAACCCCTCAACGTAACTGTTTCTTTACTATGCCTCAAAGTCAATTTCTAAGATAAATTTGCATTTGGAAAGCGTTGTAATCACAATCGATCAATATCTGAATAGTGTGCAATTTGTACTTTATTATGATATAGCTTTGTTCATAATAAAGAAAGTAAATATTTCGTTGTTTATTGAAGCAGTTATGTTGGCGATTTCAACCCCTCAACGTAACTGTTTTTTTACTATGCCTCAAAGTCAATTTCTAAGATAAATTTGCATTTGGAAAGCGTTGTAATCACAATCGATCAATATCTGAATAGTGTGCAATTTGTACTTTATTATGATATAGCTTTGTTCATAATAAAGAAAGTAAATATTTCGTTGTTTATTGAAGCAGTTATGTTGGCGATTTCAACCCCTCAACGTAACTGTTTCTTTACTATGCCTCAAAGTCAATTTCTAAGATAAATTTGCATTTGGAAAGCGTTGTAATTACAATCGATCAATATCTGAATAGTGTGCAATTTGTACTTTATTATGATATAGCTTTGTTCATAATAAAGAAAGTAAATATTTCGTTGTTTATTGAAGCAGTTATGTTGGCGATTTCAACCCCTCAACGTAACTGTTTCTTTACTATGCCTCAAAGTCAATTTCTAAGATAAATTTGCATTTGGTAAGCGTTGTAATCACAATCGATCAATATCTGAATAGTGTGCAATTTGTACTTTATGATATAGCTTTGTTCATAATAAAGAAAGTAAATATTTCGTTGTTTATTGAAGCAGTTATGTTGGCGATTTCAACCCCTCAACGTAACTGTTTCTTTACTATGCCTCAAAGTCAATTTCTAAGATAAATTTGCATTTGGTAAGCGTTGTAATCACAATCGATCAATATCTGAATAGTGTGCAATTTGTACTTTATTATGATATAGCTTTGTTCATAATAAAGAAAGTAAATATTTCGTTGTTTATTGAAGCAGTTATGTTGGCGATTTCAACCCCTCAACGTAACTGTTTCTTTACTATGCCTCAAAGTCAATTTCTAAGATAAATTTGCATTTGGAAAGCGTTGTAATTACAATCGATCAATATCTGAATAGTGTGCAATTTGTACTTTATTATGATATAGCTTTGTTCATAATAAAGAAAGTAAATATTTCGTTGTTTATTGAAGCAGTTATGTTGGCGATTTCAACCCCTCAACGTAACTGTTTCTTTACTATGCCTCAAAGTCAATTTCTAAGATAAATTTGCATTTGGTAAGCGTTGTAATCACAATCGATCAATATCTGAATAGTGTGCAATTTGTACTTTATTATGATATAGCTTTGTTCATAATAAAGAGAGTAAATATTTCGTTGTTTGTTGAAGCAGTTATGTTGACGATTTCAACCCCTCAACGTAACTGTTTCTTTACTATACCTCAAAGTTAATTTTTTAAATTTTGCATTTGGTAAGCGTTGTAATTACAATCGATCAATACCTGAATAGTGTGCATTTATTATGGTATAGCTTTGTTCATAATAAAGAGAGTAAATATTTCGTTGTTTATTGAAGCAGTTATGTTGACGATTTCAACCCCTCAACGTAACTGTTTCTTTACTATGCTTCAAAGTCAATTTTGTAAGATAAATTTGCATTTGGTAAACATTGTAATTACAATCGATCAATATCTGGATAGTGTGCAATTTGTACTATATTATGATATAGCTTTGTTCATAATAAAGGGAGTAAATATTTCGTTGTATATTGAAGCAGTTATGTTGACGACAAGTATCAGTCATTTGGATTCTAAACGGCATTAGTTAGATCTGAATTGTGTACTAAGCGTCGTTGGGGGTTTACTTTGGATAGAAGAATCACATTAAACTGTAAATTTTCATCCTACTATACTAACTAACTGAGGGTTAATATTATCCCAAAGATTGTAGCTACTTTCCTAATCTATGTATATGGCTGCTGAACAACTTAGAGTACCCTTCGATCTTTATAGAAATGAAGTTTTTTTATCACTGAAGAAATATTCTTCAATTTAAGAAGAAGGTATTTTGCCTAGATCCTCACAATAAGTGACTTCAATACTATCGTTGTTACATTCATAATTTAATTTAAAATTATCAGTTTAAATTACAAGTAAGTAAATTTTTGTATAAGAAGAATGTAAATTCATGGTCTGGAAGTACATAGTTCTGATATGAACATTATAAACAATTCATGGGCGATTGTCCATGAATTCAGAATTAATTAAAATATGGCATATTTACGTTTTAATTTCTTGAAAAGGACCCAAAACATATGGTCAAAACGTTGAAGGAATTTCAAATAAACGTGTGTTCTATGGATATTGCTCTAAAAGTAAAAAACTGCACTATTTTTGTCATTTAATCCACTGGATATTGACCAGCAAACAAAGATAAAACTCTATTGTTTTTTTGTTCTATAGACTGCTCCTACGTAAATAAATTTTACAATTGTCTTGCCTTCGATAATATTTTGTAGACAAGTGATAGCATCTTATCCTTACTAAAAAAAAGTTTGTATCACTTTTCTGAAGATGCTTGAAGAAACAATATTAAAAATTCGTAATGATGAAATGTCTAAAACTAAATACAATTATATATTTACAATTACTATATTTAACACATTCGAGGTCGAATTTTCAGTTTATGGGCCATGCAACATCACACTGCTTATAGCAGATCTGCAAAAATGTGGACAACTGCAGGGGATAGTTTTGTAATAACACGTTGATTTCGAAAATGTTCTAATGACCAATTAATAAAAATAATACTTCCACTAAACATTTGCGAATAGGCGAGACGAGGTTCGTTTCTTTTAAAAGTCGAAGGATGCTCTAAACTTTTGAACGGCAGTATACAGGGTGAGGTAATTAACATGCTAACCTTGACCAACTTGTAAATTATGCACAGTAGAACGATGTATACATAGTATACGTAAGTTGCATAGTTTCGAGGATGTCATTAGACGACGCGTGAATCTTTTTCTCTCTAAGTGAAAATGTTTCGGAGATTGGAAGACAAACTTTTACCTTTTCATGGCAGAATTTGATAAAATAATAAATATTACGAATAAAAATAGAAACATTTTGGTATGGACACATCTAAGAACCCTGTACCTATTGTTTAGCTTGAATTATTAATTAAAGTATGGACACATGAATGACCAAGATACAATTTCCTTTTCGACACATGAAATAAAATTCATATAACAATGGACCTACTAAATTTTACCACAGAAAATAGAAGACTTCAAATCTCCAAAGCACCTTTGCTTTTTAATGCGTTGACTGCCACTTTCTATATCTAAAAATGTCCTCAACATTTGTTCAAATTATAATATGAGACAGAAATATTCGATAATTCAATAGTTTGCTATTTTACAGCATTCCTGGTTAAAGCAGCGTTATTTGCGATATTTTAAATATTAGGGCTCTTCTATTCTGAACAACATTGCAACACATGGCAAGTGACCACCGTGGCAGTCATTGATATTAACGTTTTCAATTGTTTGTACAGCGCATAAGTTACAAACTATTCAAGGTGTGCATGTTAGGCGTCTCGTCCTGTATGTTCCACTTCTAGTCAGAGTTGGACATTTTAATTCGTCGAGGCAAATGAAATGTTATTCCCAATCGACTATCCGAATAAAATGTTACCAAATTCTGCTTCCAGTGAGGGTCAGGCGTGTATCACGCGTGAACTTAGCGCCCATAGCTCTGAAACAGCCGGTAAGATATACACACACAGAAGAAACAAATGTTGCGGCGTGTAAGAATGAGCCAACGAACGAGGGGATGCGATGAGGTGCAATGCGGACAAAGTGAGCGATAAATGCGGTACCTGCTGAATGGAACGGAGAACGAATGACACTCGTAGAAAAGCGTGTGTACATGTACGTGTACGTGTGTTGTGTGTGCGGTGATGACGAAAGAGATACTTTTGTACTTGTCGGGAGAGAAGGGCGTCAGCGATGAAACGAAACAGAAGGAAACGAAAAACGCAATGACGATGAGGAGGAATGGGGGTGGATCACAGAGGAACGATGCACGCGTGACGGATACGTGGTTACGGGTAGGGACCGGTAGTGATCTTGAATTCTTTCCTTCTCCTCTGGACCAGGTTCTATTTCCTTTCCCGAATCGCGACCGATTTGTCACGCGCGAGCCTGTAATTCTGGTTCCCTGCGATCTCGTTAGTCGCCCAGCGATGCGGTCTCCCTTACCTGTTAGAGGGACAGCTCGAGTAAGCTCAAGAACCGCAACTACGTCTCTATGTGTCCTACGACAAGTGGCTCGTAAAGCTTCAACAAGCGAATGCAGAAGATTAAAAAAGGTGAGAACCCCCAACACGTACGTGCGCCGTCTGTCCTCTCGACGCACGTTTCGCTTTCCCAACACGTTACACGTACAGCGGACCAGGCCGACCACAGAAGCACCCAGAACATTTCCTGTATCGATAACCATGTCGCTTTTCTTTTTTTTTTGGACTCTCGTTTTGTGTCGTTAGTGAGCTCGACGCGAGAGCAGCGAGTAATTGCCAATCCCAATTCGCGGGGCATGAACTGCTCGTCGGAACTTCGACCCCGTGATCGGAACGCTAGCAAATTTCCTGACCGTTTCGTCGCCCCTGCGTGCCCGCGAATCGGGAGGCAACCTAAGCGGACAGAGAGAAACAGATGCAGAGACGGAAAACCGGTTCAGAAGGAGAGAGGTTGGCTCCGTGCGTGTGATGGACAGATGGGGGTAGAGAGATACACGGTTACCAAGAAAATAAGAACGAAAACCAAATGGGAGATAGACAGAGGGGGAAGAGATACAGACAGACAGAGATAAGTCGTAACAGCTCCAGCGAAAGAGCAGAGTGATACAGATAAGTGCTAAGCGCAAGTACCACTTATGAGCTACGTCTCGAATTTTTGTTCTGGGGTGGTGGTGGTGGTTTAGACCGAGACGTGTCCGTGAGAACTGATCTGGAGAACCGGCCAGGACTAACCGGTTCGAGCGCGCCGCTAAGAACCCTTGCACCAAAAAAGAAAACGCAAATATATAATGAGACACGAGAGTGTGCCGTCGGGACGCCGTTCGTTCGTTAGTTACAACAAACAAGTACGTAGACGTTGGACAGGGTGGTTTTCGATCATGCAACGACTATGCCTACGATCGGGTGGTCCAGGTTCCGAAGATGCTGTGCGTTTCGGTATCCGAACGTGAGAAAGAAACTCTCTGTCATAAATATCCTTAAATTCTGATCGTCGAGGGTCGTTTCATCGTCTGGGTCAAGTTCTATTGTCATTCGTATTCGATTCTTGTTTCTCAACGTCGTCTTTGGTTCTCTGTAAAACAAAAGCAATCGATGATGTATCGTTTATCAAGGATATCTATAAGTTCACGTGAGTTCCCGTTCGGACACCGTGTTGCACCGTTCTACCGATTCTCTGGATGGTCCAACGCGTCTGTTCGCGACAAGACTTTGGACGTTCCAGCAGCGATCGGGTCGTTCGACCAGCACTAAACGTACAGTTACAAAAGATAAGGGGGAGCGAGGGAACATCGGGGAGCAATCATTCCGTCGCGGCTATAGCGACCAATTCGTTTTCGATTGGGCGTCTTAGTGTCTGGGCGTCTAGGGACCATGCTCTACGTAAAGCGATAATGCTAATCCAGTGTAGAGGAGGAGAAAGGGAGAGGAGACGGGGAGATAAACATGACTGGCAAAGCAATAGAAAGGACTCGTAGAAAAGCGAGAACATAATCCAACAGAAGCGCTACGCTATACAACTACAATAATGAGTTCCACGTTGCATGCCTCCCTTCTATTACACCTTTACACGATACCGATTATGATGATACTTATCTTGACTGAAATAGTATCGTCACGGGTTCGAATTCTGATCGTTTAGACGGTGCTATTGATGTTGCTCGTGTCGTCGTATTCGAATACGTTGTTGAAATTATGATAACGGCAGGCACTGGTTGTATAACGAAAAGATTGTACGAGTGGTGTATGTACGTGGTATACATTCAAAGCTCTTGAGATCAGTATTGAGAGTAACGAAGATGTTTAAAGCGTTATCGCGTAGTATTCCTAACCGAGACAAGTATATATTAATATTAATGCTAACAACCTTGTGGAATTAAATATACTAAACTCGACACTAATATCCAAAGCCGTGCTCAGTCTCAACAACATGCTATATCAAATATTAGTATTAAATGTAACATACTTCACTTCTAACGCGTTACACATTACTATTAATATTTAATTGGAGATACTCGAACGAACGATTGCTCGATATTAACATCAAGATTTACATATAACATTCGCATAATATTTATCCTTTATACAACCAGCAACTAGCGTCAAGACACAATCGAATGGTATTACTATATAAATCAATGTAGAATAATCGTGCTGAATTATAGAACAGTATCCAAGTATTAACATATTAATAAGTATTTGTCAATATCGACTGAAGTTCATGCAAAGGCGACTATCGTGTACCAAGGAGGGTCTCGGTTAAAAACTCAGAAAAGCTACGCGTATGATATAACATTCGAACCGAAACGTGTAAATTAATCGCACGTCAGAATGATCTGAGCAGAGGACACTTGATCGCCAACAGTTACTTCGGAACAAGATCGGAAATTGTACGTTCTTAACAAAAGCTCGTGATCCTTTTTCACATGTCCCTGGCGCGACGCGCGTTCCTGTCGCGTCGCACGATGCAAGAAAGCAAGAAAAAAATCCAGTTTCCATATATTAGATTCTTTTCGTTCGTTTAGTAAATGCGTACACGGATGGATTATGCCTGTTTTTAGTCGTGTTAATTCCAAGATGCTTGGTTACGCACGCTGACTTCGGTCGTTCTCGCTTTCGAGTTCGATCGAGAGAAAATCAAAGAGACCAAAAAGTAAAATAATAAAAAAAGAACGTGTAGAAAGAAAGTAAGGGGGAAAAATAAGGAGTGTACAGAGCGTCCCGTTTTAAACAGACCGCCTTGTATCTTTGCTATTTTAAATACAAGGAAGAAGCATCGCTGGCAAAAGTTTGAACGATTTCGAGGTGTATGTAACATGATGGCAATAGTGTCTCTGTTGGTGGAAACGTAGAAGGGATTCGAGAACGAAAATTTTTTTTATTATAAAATTCAGTGAAGCAATAAATTTCGAAAGTAAAGGTACAGGAAAAATCCTCGTATTCTAACACTGATCATCTAACTGTATTTTATTATCCGAACGTTCTGTTATTTAAATAAAGCTGATACCATATTGTTCGAATAACAGAACGATCCGATAGTGTTCAGAAAATTGGCGTTCGAATACGGGGAGCTCTACATCTATTTTGAAACTAAGTTTCCGAAATATTCAGCTACCGAAATATAGAAACTCGGATGCGAAAAAAACATCAGAAAAATAATAGAATATTATTGGAGGGGAATATCCCAGAAATTAGTCATTTTAAAATAGACCTACCATGATACTTTTATTTTCGAAATTAATGGTTCTATCGAATTCTGTTATAAAAGAAATTGACCTTCGAATCTCCTTTGTACCACTATTTATGAATACATTATTGCCGCCATAATGTGTCCTCCGCAAAACCGTGCACGTTTTACAAGCAACGCGTTTTCTTATCGTTTAAAATAGCAAAGATAATAAGACAACTTGTTTCTAACCGAACATCCTATTTACAGGTGGAGCGTATAAATAATTATTCCGGACTTCCTAAATAAACAACGAGCGATCGTTAATCGCCTCGGCTACGCCCGCTGAACCGAACAGAAGTATCTCTCATCATCTATAGACACACTAAATTGGTATACGTGAATATCACTTACGAAAGGATTTTAGGAATCTTGCGCGTAGGAATAGTCGTAACTACTTGGCCCCACAATAGAGTGCCGACTCCGAAGAACAGGCACCACATCCATTGTTCTAAAGTGAGAGCTTTCGTGCTGAACGCCATTTTACCGTATTGTATGATAACTACCTAGAAAAGAGACATACGATTCTGTTAAGAGGACGTAGAAAACAACGGCCTCGCAGTCACCGTGTTAAAAGGACGTCTCCTTGTGCTTGCGTTTCGTTTCTGCTTGGCTGGAACAATCGGTTCTCCTCTTTCGGCGAACCTATTATCTGTATAATTGATTAGAATATGCAATTTGTCGACGATACAAATAGCTACTTTCCAATTCATCGAACTCCCCTTCTTTTTTTACACGAAGCAAAATAAAGATGTTTCTTTGGTTCTAACGAGACAGACGTTTCCCATGCTTTGGGAATAGTCTGAACCCTTTGCGATCTTGATCGATTTTTGAAGGCGAGCTTCCGGCTTGTAACTTTGTCTTGGCGACAGGCACTTTTGAAAATAAATGTTATAACAATAAATGAAACGATTCGAGCATCACGGTCTAAAATACCTTTTTCACATTTGACAGCAAAGAGTTGGCTCTGATTATGCACACAGACCATCCAACCATAAACAGTACAAAAAGTTTATTAAGACGCAATGACTTTGCGATATCTTTTCTTGATAGGCAAGAAAGTCATTGGTGCAATTAATAATGAAACGGTTGAAAATCGATAGAGATATTTCACTGGAAATTTGGCTGCGGCTCTAACATGGTTATCGTATTTGAAAAATGAGAGAGAACATGTTGCAATGAAAATAGTAAGTTACACAAGTTACCTGCGATAGACACGTGCCGATCCAGATAGAATAAAAGATGGGGTTGGTGAATATTCCTTGGAAGACATTACGCTGACCGTGGATTTTCCTGGCGTTAAATTCGTTGAAAAGAGTCATCATGACGAACGTGTTGAAGATGACGGTGAAGTGCTGCGTTGGACCGCCGCCAGTTTGTGCTGCCCCTCGGCCTGTTTCGATGTCGAGCATCTTATCACCTATCGATCAGACGTTCATCGTTAGAAGGATGTAGCTCTTGAAGCGTCTTGATGCCTCGGTCATCTCAAAATCCAAAAAGAAATCATTCTCAAATGACGAACATCGACCCGTCGCACGTAAGAATACGTACTACCAAGCTCAAACTTTTGGGTACTACATCTACAGCAACACAACGAACCTAAACGTTTCATTCGTTCACGCATTAATTGGTAAACAAAGACACACCGTGTATTTAATATAACGTTTTACAATATTTTTACTGGACGTTTAACTCGTATAGCGTATGTTGGAGCTATTAAAGTACTGAATACTGAAAATACATCGCTACGTTTCTTATTTGGAGCTTCCTTCGCGCGGCAAGACGCATACACAAATTTTTGAACAGTAGCACACTTAACTCTTGAGATACTATTTTGTTTTTTTTTTCTTTTGGATTAAAGATGACTCAAGTTAAAAAGCAGAAAGGATATTTACCAACGAAAAGAAGCATAAAAATAACGGTCAACTGATAGACTGCTTGACCAAGGATGTTCTTCATCATTGTCCTGGAGATGAGTGGTTTCGTGCGACCATACGGTCTGCGAAGAAGAAGATCAGGCGTAGGCAATTCGGTGGCCAAAGCGAGAGACGCTAATGTGTCCATGATTAGGTTCACCCACAACATCTGCACCGCTTTAAGGGGAGAATCTTGCACTGCACATGCTCCGATAAAAGCAACTATAACAGCGACGACATTGACAGTCAGCTGAAACTGCAAGAACTTCGCTATACTATCGTAGACGTTTCTACCCCACATAACTGCTTTCACGATCGAGGAGAAATTATCGTCCGTTAAAATGATATCGGAAGCTTCTTTGGCGACATCGGTACCGGCGATACCCATGGCGAAACCGACATCCGCCTTCTTCAGAGCAGGACCGTCGTTCGTTCCGTCGCCGGTTACAGCGACGACCTCGCGGCTCACGCTCGATTTACTGTCTATTATGCCTTTCACGAGCGTGTACTTATCCGTGGGCGACGATCTGGCCAGTACTCTCAATTTCGGCCACACTTTGTCCAAAAGGTGTTGCTGCACCTCGCCGTTGCTGTCCCTGATCCTCTTGTTGAACTCTTTGCCCTCGAGTATAAGGAAGTCCTCGTTCGGCTTAAAGATCCCGCATTTCAGAGCGATCGATCGTGCGGTATTAATATTGTCTCCCGTCACCATTCGCACGGTTATGCCCGCTTTCTGACACTTCCTGATCGCGTCTGGCACCTCGGGACGAACCGGATCCTCGATACCGACAATGCAAAGACACGTCAGGTTGTTCACCACATTCTCCTCGTCGTCCCAATTCGGATCGTTGTCGATGTGAACTTGATTGATCTCTGCCTTGCCAGGAACGAAGTCGCGATAAGCAACGGAGATGGTACGAAGCCCGTCGCACGCCATTGGTTCGATTACGTTCTTTACCAGACGGTCTTGCATCTCTTTGGTAAATTTCTCCAAATGACCATCGCGACCATATATAAAGGCACATCTGCAACGATCCACACACGACATTTAATCTACTCTTCTTTATGCGATGTACCGTTTGCTAATCCTCCACTGGTAGGGTATGATCAAACGCAATCTCTCGCTTAATGTTAAAATTATGTTTTCAATTGTCACGGGGCTCATAGATACACTACATAATAGATCAATGTTAATTAGAATTTTAGTTTACTTAATATACAACAATTCATCGTGAGCACTCAATAATAATTTTAATGATCAAAGAATGATACGATTGATAAACTATGTAAAGGAATGTCGTACACGTTTTAATAAAGACATTAAAATAACTAGTTTGATGTAGTACTTAGAAAAGACACGTTGAACTCCGATATCAATGTACTTATAGAAATACATGTTTACGTTTCTCATATTTTTCCACGTGAAATTCTTCCCCTCCCCCAACTAATTTGAGAAACTGTATTAACGCAAGAACACTCATTATATATTTTATATATTTTATATTATTATATAACGCGACGAACATATACTCTTATTTGGGTGAAACTAGTATCAAATGCATATCGATTAAGTCCATCCTACCAGTTTAGGGCTAACAATGGTATTTGTTTACGAACGAACTATATCGTACTTCTTCATGATGATCTCGGAAGCGCCCTTGGTGAAAAGCCTATATCCACCACCTTTCCTCGGAACGACGGTAGACATGCTCTTCCTAACGCTATTGAACGTGTACACCCGCGTGAAGGTTTCCTCAGGTTGATCGTCTCGTATCGTCTGATAGTTCATGCCCAGGGCTACTACGAATCCAAGTAAGGCACATTCGGTTTTATTGCCGACTTGAAGCGGCAACTCTGTAGGGTCTTGCGAGGGCATTATTCTGGATGTGTACGCCGAATTAATAGAGACAGCTTGTATTATATAGTTTCCAATGTGGCTCGGTATGTCCGAGAACTTTGGAATCGTCTTGCTCATCTTCTCGCATATGTACGAATTAACGACGGTCATCCGATTGGTTGTCAGGGTACCAGTCTTGTCCGAACAAATTGCAGTAGCGTTGCCCATCGTTTCGCAAGCGTCCAAGTGACGTACCAAGTTGTTGTCTTTCATCATTTTCTACAATACACACGAGAAAGAAATTCATGTATTACTATTTTTTTTTTATCGAATTGCTAAGGAACGAGAAGATTGAAAATTTGCAATCATGAATTTCTTCCCTCCCCTTGATTTAGCAACAAACTTTAGAAATCTTTGACGGGACCAAAGCTGTTTCCTACTCAAGTTAATTTAAGAACCACCTTAAAAGATCATCGATCATCGAGGTGTCCAGTGTCTTAAGAGCTCCAACAAACTATAAAAAATACACCGTGTTTCACTTATCTCTGACACCTGTTTCATTCTCCTGAATTGCTTAAGCTTTAAATGTACAAAATAGGGCTCAAACCAGTGGTTTTTATCCTTTGGTCCGCGGACTCCCAACGGGGCCGTAGATAGATATTTGAAAATAATTACTTTGATTCAATGTTCTCAACTTAACGTTATGTCTTGTATAAAAAAGGTATAAGCTTTCTTAGCTAAGCTACTGATGCAGAAGAGAAGCGTAGAGGCTGACGTCTTTCGAAACTTTCAAATGCTAATAGAAGTACTTTGCTAACAGTTGAAATTTAAAATTCTCTAACAACATCCTTTTGAAAAACGAATTTTGTAAACACCTAGAAACACTACAGAACTTTTTCACCAGTTATTTTGATTTCAATGGTGTTAAACTTGAACGTCTAATATGAGTTCTATCGAGGATGCAAATCTAATCAAGAATAAACTCGTTGACATTAAAACCAAGAATTTGCTAGAATTGAAACTAAACAAGTTTTGGAGGATTCTGATTTAACTAATATTTAAGAATATTATTCTAAGTAATATTGCACGGGAGTCAAAAAAAAAAAAAAAAGGGTTAAGAACCACTGGTCTACAGAGATTTACTAACCCTGACACAAGAATAAATAAATAAAAACGTTTTCTAGTTTTTGGTCTACCCATTGTAAAGTCCATCCCTTAAACCCAAAATCTGGCTATTGTCGGATAACGGAGAAAGATTATTTGAATAATTACCTTAACGGAATAAGCGAGAGACAAGGTGACAGCTAGAGGAAGACCTTCGGGAACGGCGACTACAAGTACCGTTACACCAATGATCAAATGTCGTACTAGATCACCAGCAAATTTATTTTTCCAAGTTTTCCCATCTATGACAAACGTTTTTACGCAGAACTGAATGACTAGAATGACAACGGTAAGCACTGCTATGGTCGAGCCGGCGTAACCGATTTGTATGGCGAGTTTAGTTAGCTTGGCTTGGAGAACACTTTTCTCCTTCTTTCCTTCACCTCCACCCCCTTGGCTGGCTGGCTGGTGGTTCTCCCCGCCCTCGTGTTTGCCCCCTCCTCCACTTACATGGCTGTTTCCGGTTATTTCTGCAGCTTCATCTCCTTTATTTACAACATACAGATTGGTCTGAGTTTTTTCGAAAATGCTGCTCCGAAGCTCGATGCCTGCGCTTTTCTTCGTTTATTACGTTCAGTGAAAATAGCTTGTAGTACTTGTAATTTTCTCTAATATTCGCAATAATACAAGGAACTCCAAAGTAGTAGTCGATTGCAAAAATAAGAAAGTTATGAATTTATTAATTACTATCTTCTTTCTTAACGAAATTATTAATACCAGATTTACGAAATCCGTCGATTTGGCGAGTGTTAGATTCCATGCTTGAAGTTACAGAACTCGTAAACATTATTCGTTAGTAATTTATGTTAAATTTTACCCCAATTAAAAAAAAAACACACATTTTAATCTAACCATCAACGTGACGACTTTCTATAAAAATATGTGCAATTAATGCTCGTAAATCTAGCGTTAATAATCCAATAATGTTCGATAGCTATCCTTCTTCTAGGTTGATCTGTTATGAAACATTGGATTCGACACAGAGTATTGTTAGATTATCTAATGGTGGCCACTCGCAGGAATCGAACTCTTCTAAACAGTTACAACTAAATTACACTTATACTTTCTAATTTTGTACCACGATATCGGTGACTAATATTAGTATAATCAGTATCTACCGAAGAAAGGGAAGAAGAAATATAAGTAGTACAATAAGCTGGCGAAAAAGAGGATAATAAAGAAATGGTTAAAAGGCATAACAGTTACATTTTAAAAACACAGATGTGTAAAAATCATAGATCTAAAAACTATGGCTAAAATGCAGAAGAACAGAAGCTGTACAGAATTAAGTAGTCCGCAAAATTCATTAAGTATATAAATCGCTGCTGTTGAAACACTTAGAGATGGTGATAGAAAGTACAGAGAAGCACGGGATGAGACACCATTGTCTCTCTCTTTATAGAAATCTTTCTGTTTATTTTGCACAAGAACAAATGGACCACACAGGCGAGTAAGATCTGTCGTAAAAGTAAAAGATTGATTTGATGAACACAAAGATTATCCAAAGTATAGACAAATAGGCCATAGAGTGTGCAGTAACATAACAGACAGAGTGAAAAGTCAAAGATTCAAAATCAAAAGATTCTCAAAAATGATTATACAATTTCTCATAATGCGTGTGTGTTTTAATATATGTATATATTTAAAAATAAGATAAAAAAAAAATAAAAAGAGAAATAAACTAAATACGCGCGCGTGCTCATTGAATGTACACGTACACGCTTAACACCGAAAAATGATGGACAGTAATAATTTATGATAGTACTTTATTCACCTGTTAATGACTTCTTCTTCCGCTGCTTCTTAGCCTCTAGATAAAAAAATGCATGCAAAACAAAATCGATTAGCAGTCTATCTAAAAATGTAATATGCCAGTCGTAAGTTACGCCATATTCGTAATTTTATATTTTTCTATTCTAAGTTCTGTTTCTGGTTTCGTGAAACGCTTAATTCTAAGTGAACCGGCCCAGATGGTTTGTACTCTGGCCGTTCAAACAAGACGTGGGCTACGTTACTCTATTAATTCACTTCATCTGAACAGCGTGTTTAGCGAAGTGTGTAAAAGGAACATTCTGCAACACTTAAAGGGCCTTCCAGGTTGTGCAACAACAAAAGACATACACAACAACGTAAATCACAAAAAAGCATACCGTGTTTTTGCCTATTTACTTCTTTATTGTAACTTAAGAGTGGTCCTCGCTATCAGAGTCAGGTACTAAATGTTTTATAACAATAAATTTTATCGGGGGAAATATTAATTTTAGAAAATATTTAATATTTCTAAGCTCGTCTATACAGTATCAACGATACTTTAGTTAAACGTATTAAAATATTTTTCAAGTTTTTTTATTCTTTTCTCGAATAGCGAGGATCGATCTTTGCGCCATGATAAGGGTAAAAATTATTCCTAAATCATCCAATAAAACAATTTTGTACATAAATATGTAAGACAAAGATACGAACATTTACAACCAAATACGCAGACTAATGTAAATATCTCGAGAAGTTGTATAAAGTGATCAGGTAACAATGAAATAACAAGAGCTAGAATTAACGGACCACACTTAACCATCCTTAATATTTTAAAATTTGAGTAATGTCTCAGTTTATTAAATTTTTACTTCCTTTTTGAAAGGCACGGAATATTTATTCTTCTCCTTTCGTTCAACATGATTATGAATAATTTTTCATATATAGAAGCAAATAAATCAACATACAAGTATCTTTTTCAAATACTAATTAGCAAATAGTTCAAACATTATTTGAAGGTATTGCAAACGCATGCCAAGAAAACATAAGGTCATAAATACCTAAAAGTAAATTCACATCACACTAATTCAAAATAAATACCATGCGTCACCTGTTGTTTCTCTACGTTTATTTTTGTACTTTGTATCATGCAGAGCTTTCCTACTACCAGCTACTACTCTTGGTCAATTTCCTCGCGCGTAATTAATAAATAAATTTCCCTGTAATTTATCTATCCAACAATTCCTATTTTCTGTGCCAGAAAAGTAGCAGGCTGAAGAAACTTTTAATATACTGTAATGGTATAAAATTCATAAACTATGCCATTCTCAAAACAATTTCATTAAATTGAAATGTTTTGTTTCCTAAAGGGTTGTAAGATAAACATAGTTTGGCAATCAGTTCGATTATTTTCGGTATATTATTTTCAAAATGGCAATCTATAGAAACTATACTACTTCAGTCATCCCCAGCTTTTTGAAACCAACAGACATCTGACATTGAATGCTATCCGCTAAAATTAAGTCTACATACCCTTCTTCATCTTCTTAATTTCTTGTTCTTGGTGATCAACGGCAGCACCCAACAAAGTAAAGATAATACCAGCCTGTGAGTTAACACCTACTGCAGTTACTAACATTTTTCCAGAACCCTCCATCACGTGTGTACCTTTCGAAGAGAATTGTGATTGCAACGACAGCGTAACTTCAAATAAATCGTTATTCTAAGCTCGATTTGCGGAATAGAACCCCTCACCTGAGAGTACCATAGGATCAAATGATTCCCCCTTTTTAACATGGTCCGACTCTCCAGTTAAACTGGATTCATCCACTTTGAGATCGTTGCTTTGTATAAGAACACCATCTGCTGGCAGCAGGTCTCCATACTTTATCTGAATTGCAGATCGTCCAATTTAAGGAAGACCTTCTTTATTATTTGACACAAAAGAAAATGATATTTGCTACTAAAATAATGTTTGCTAGTCAAAGTTGATTAGCAATGTATAAAACATTTTGATAAACCCTTAAGACACCAAAATATGCTCGTAAAGTTACCAATTTTAAATGTCAAGTATAGAAAACCCGTATTTTACGTATAATCTGAGTACACTTTAAATCCCTTGGCAGTCTCGTTATTTTAATGAAATCGCTCCACAAAATCCCTATTTCACCGAAAGCAAAGATTTACGATTTTCCTACACACATTTATTATTTACCAAACTCCAAATTATTATTACACAACAAAAAATGATTACAGAAACCCCTGATTGTCACAAGCTAGTTAATGTGCGAACGTCGGACTCGCCCGTGACTGACAAGGGGTTAATTGTGTAGATATTCTTTCTGTATTTTGAGACATTTCTTTGGCTAATAAAATTCATTAACTTAGAAAATATAAATATTTTACTTAATTAGGGGTGCGCGAGAACCCGAAATATCGGGTCGGGTCGGGAACACGAAATATTTTTGGGGATCGAGACGGGTACCCGAAAGTTTCGAGAAGTCGGGATTCTCGAAATAATCGAGATTTTCGATTCGAGAGCTCGATCTTTTTCCAAATCGTCCCGACCATCGGGTTCTCGTACACCCCTACACTTAATGTAACCCATACACATACCTGACATATATCACCAACGACTATGTCGGACACAGAGATCTGTTTGACTTCCCCTTGCCGAATGACCGAGAATTTATGTTCCCCTTCTATCCGACTTTGGAGGCCCCTAAATTGTCTTTCCTTAGAATAATCATTGAAAGCTGTTACTAATACCACCACAATCACAGAAATTAATATAGCAAGTCCTTCAATCCAACCATATTTTGCTTCATCATCTTCCATTGCTGCTGAAAGTTAAGAAAAAAAATGTTGTGTGAGTCTTTTTTTTTTCTTATCCAGAAAATTTTCTTATCTTTGATTTTATACAATCTAAGAGATTTCGTGTCACGATTAATTTCTCTAGATACATAGGGTTATATCAATACACCATCAATTCATCAACATAAATATTCTACTCTACACAGTTATTAAATATATATTGTATGTACATATACGGTTAATTTACTTGCCCAGACATTATGTAATAATATGTTGTGAAATGTGAGAAATATATCTTTATCGTGTATGTTATCAATACTACTGTTATAAGTATATAAAATCTAAGTATTAGTGTGCTTCTTTTCTTGTATTCAGTGATTAAGAAATATCAATAAAGATATGATTATATATATCAGAGTTCGCACTTACAATTTTCCTCTTCATCTGCAGGATGATAAAAACTAAGACCTAACGAAACCAAAGCTGCTACTTCCAAGATGATTAACGTCACATCTTGCAAAGCTTCCCACACTAACTGTAGAAAAGTTTTTGGTGGTTTTGGTGGTATTGAATTCGAACCAAATGTGTCACGTCTGTGTTGGATATCTGCCGCTGATCCACTGAGACCTGCATAGCAAAAATATTTTCTGTTACGAACTTTTCATAAATGTTGAAACAATTAATAAAAACGCACAACCAACAAGAATCTTACCTTCACTGGGTGAAGTATATAATTTTTTACAAATCTCCTGCACACCACCATAGCTATTGATTTTATTGACACCTTCACGTCCTCGGAGCTCCATAAGCTCACGAAGTTGCTTGAGAGTGATACCATATTGGGCCGGTCGGCCATCTATTGTTGCCATTTTGCTTCGTCCACCGACGTTGGCCTAAGCCAACTCTACTACGCTTCTTTACACTAGCAGCTCGTATTATTCTCTGGTGTCACTGACACCACTGGCCTCCAGGATATTGGAGGACCAATAGCTGAAACACAAAAAAGAAACAACTTCAAAACTTTTGTATTCAACATTATTTAGAAATGATTTTATCTTTCGTGTGTAAAACTGTCCTATTTGTGTACATACTGATTATGCATTTTTATCATTGGCCTCTTATAGGTACTGATTCATAAACTATTGATTAGCATACAAGCTAAATATCTGATTCATACATATTTTCATAGCTGTGTCATTCCATGATAATCATATTCGTAGGCATTTCATTGAAAGTTTACCCATCAGTGTTAAAAAAAAAATCAAATAATGATTATAAATATGAACCTTGTTCCATGGCATTCCCTTAACATTAAAGCAAACAATTCATAACACTTAAATCACAAACACAAACAATTCAATTTTAAGAAGAACTTTCAGCAACAACCCACAGAACATTCCATTCTGCCAAGTAAGAGACACACACAACCACAGTGAATCCTGCAACTGTAGAGGTTATGCATAACTTGAGCAAACCAACAAACGATTTTTGAAATGCGTTTCGATGATCGCAAACTGGACTCGAAACGACATTTCTATAACGCGCGAACGCCTTCCGAAGACACAAGAGAAAACTCGAGTCGATGAACTAAAAAATTCTACCGACTCGTGATCGGCGATGATTCAGATCGCCGAAAAACGCGTAGGACACGACGGTTAAATCATTGTCCATATCCACAAATTTGAAAAATCAAGACACAATTCCTGACTGTCAGTAAACGCCGACACGTTTTTGAGGTTATGTACCCTAACGAACGAGTCGTTACTGAGAGACTCCCCACGACGACGAAAGAACCAGACGTTTACTTCCGAAATTATGTCACGGTGAGGAAGAATAACGGGACCGACCGATTGAACGGGCATCGACGATAGACAATCTAAAAATAACACTGACCGCGGAACAGAGACAGAGCGATGACAGGGAGGAAGAGAGAAAATCCGTTTACCTTCTGGTGACAGTCTACGAGTTGACGCGGACAGCGGATCGCGAATTGGCATGCAAACCGATCTCTCTTCACCAGTACGGGCCTTGGAGCTTCATTCTTCCCTGTCGACCTCTTTGAACGTTGGAAACCTACTTGCCACACAACCAGTAGCAGCGAAACCTGATCGCCTCGGAAAGGCGTGTTAAGTGAAATAAGCCATTAGCAAAGTGGTAATCGATTCGTGTTGCCCTCTAGCCGCTCACACGCGTACTGCGCGAAGTTTCACTATTTTCCTCGTTTTCTCCTGTCCAATGCTGGATAAAACAACATTCGCAATACATAAATGAAAAAAATTCGATTCGAATTCAACGAGAATTACGATGTCTAATAACGGTTTCGAATTGCAATTAAAAAGTTTCGTAATATTTATATTAAATAATATGTAAAATAATTATTTAAAATAGCAATTGGACGCCCTTGACGATCGTAATATCGAAATCGAATCGTTCTTTCAGATTTATGTTTTTACACGGAATAAAAATTCTATGAAAAATTACTCTCGCACAGGTTCGAATCAATTTGTCAGCGAATAAATCACCCCGGTGTGAAATCTTTTATCGTCACGGCACGTACGTTTCGTAATATGCGATTTACAATATCGCGAAACATGGAATGCGATGCAAAATACAACAGAGCCGACACATCGCACGTCGAGTCTCGCGATGAACTGAGTTGATCGCGCTCCCTGCACATTTTCACTTGGAAAGTTCAACCTGATTCATTCATCGCGTTTACGTAATTTTTACTCACAACTCTATTTTCATCCTATTACAACTCAGGCTACCGCTAAACAACTGGTTTTAGTTGCGAGTTCCTTTTGCAACGAGCACGATAGGCGTGACAGGCAATGGGACACACAAGAATTTACGATGATCTAATCGGGGTGATCGCATAAATCGTTCAATTAATTAATTAACAACAAATTTGTCGGAAAAATGAAGTCACATTCACGTTTTTTCATCGTTTTAGTTATGATTAATGATCCAATCTTCTCATAAACATCTTGTTAACATGTTCACGGCCATACTAGTTTTTCATGTCTAAAAATGGCGTCCTTGACATTTGTTCAAATTATAGTTCGAATGTTAGAAAGTTACTATTATTATTATTTATTACAATGCGAATATTAGTTAGTTTCTAACGTGTCTTATGCCAGTATTGTTCAAAATTTTGCAAATATACGTGTTACCGTTGTAAATGATTTTAAAGTATGTTATGGATTTGAAATGTCGGTCACCGGTGACCACCATGACAATCTCGTTAAACTTATTCGATAATCAACAAATAACGTTTTCACGTATCAATTTTTTTCATAACGATTCTTAAACAACGTTTGAATTTCCATCAAGTATATACAATTTGTTATATTTTTATACATATCAGTTCTGTTCCTGCGAATGAACTAAATACGAGGCTCGACGACTGCTTCAATTTTTCATTTGTAATAGGACAACACGGCGTCGTGTTTAATAATCGACGTTCTCTTTCATTTGTTCTTGCTCGATAGCCTCTTCTGTTTAAAGAGCGTCGTTTAACTAAAAGGAATTGTCTCAAAAGCGGTCAGAGGCCATTTCCTTGGCCGCATGGAGAAGAGAGATACTTTCTGTTCTATATTTCGGGTTGGAAGAGAGGTAACGTGTCGATATTGTTGATTGAGCTGAAGAGCCACAGTCGATACGAGGCAAACAGAGCGGCAAAGCAAGAGGAGAACTGAAGAGAGAGAGAAGAAACGGAATCCTTTTGCCGTCCAATTCGAACTATTTTCGTATTTTCACGCGGATTCCCTTCTATTGTTTACACTCGTTCAAGCTCTCGAACCGACGATGGCGGCGAAATCGAGGAAAATTCTCGTTATCGAGAGAACTCACAAAGCGTATGGAATCTTCCTAACCGTTAAATAGTCACGCGCGGGGCTATCATGATATTATTTATAAATATAGTTGTTCTAACGCCATATTAAAAATAAACCTGTAATATTAGATCCTCCGCCGTAACACAAATAGAAAACAATAAACTATAATGGCTGGACTGAGATCCGGATATACCAAAATTACTCCTGAATATTTTATTAACACTTTGCCAACCGATTAATACTAATTTGATGAAAATCAAAGATAACAAAAATTTGTCCACCTATTGAATTTTTTTCTCGAAAGTGCGTAGAATTTTGTGGGTATGTGTAATGACAAAAAATGATTGTAATTGATCCCTTTAGTTAAAAATAATTTTTTCAGAATGATTTGAAATTTTTTAATAACTTTTTAACGAAGCCCCAATCAAGAAATTGATATTCTTGATTTTCCATTAAAATTTTTCCCAGGGTTGGCCGAATATCCTATATAATGTATAGTTATTATGTTCTTTACTTATGTGTAGTATAATTAGATATTAACATATTAATGTTATAAATATTAGTACAATTATTTCTACGTATTATTCAATACTTTTAGCGAACATTATTTGGAAAAAGAAATTTTTAAATTAAGAAATAAATGTTATTGATATAAGCAGTACTTTAGTTTACTGTTGACTGACCCGATTAAGAACCCAAGATCAATTCAAATACATTATTTACGAAATATCAATTAATATTATTTTCGAATTACTATTTGAAATAAACTTTGCCCGTGTCTGGTCTGAATGGTACCGTAACGCCTCTTTTCCAGGGAACTAATCACGCGTGTTTGCCCAGCTAATGCACTTGTCGTTGCTTTTGCGATCGCGAAAATAAGGGCCACTCTTTGTCATCCAAGAACAAATACATCGAGTCCCCGAACTTCGCATTACAAGCCGTGGTGTGCTCTGTAACGTAAGAATGCACTGTATGGTTTGTAATCAGAGAATCCTTGTCCCCTCGAAGCTCGACGTAACGAATTTTTCGACACACATGGTCACGTGACTGCAGAAGATTCACACACATACACACACACACACACATCGTTACTTCTCGGAAGCTTGGACCAAAAAGGGAAAGTAACAAAAACGAAGTTAGTATTGGTGGATCGTGTCCCGAATGTAATTATCGGATAACTAACCAATGGCCAGCACCAAACTTTACAAACAATGTCAGTAAAGCACAACACAAACTCGGTGTAATCATTATCTCGATCCACACCACACTGCTGTGCACAATTACAATCGAACTACTTCAGGAATTATAATTACAAAATGATTGAATCGCCATCGTATCTCGTGATTACAAGTAGAACGTAAATATAGAAGTAATACAATTAAATTGGAATAATCGTGAACTACGGTGCAATCGAATCACAATTACGAATTAATAGATAGGAGCTTCAAACAGAAGTGAGAAACAGGCTATTATTCATAAATTATTTAAAGACTTTCCAAAAAACTTAAAGATAAATGTTACAAAAATAAATAAAAATTATCTATCGTGTGTCGTAATTTGTTACTATTACTCTTCCTTTTAATCCGTTAGAGTTTTCTTTCAGAAGAACTTCATTTCGCTTTGATTACTATAATTACAAATCACAGCACGTCAGCTTTGCATTCCTTTCGTATTTATTCTAGCGTTTGTTTAATTGAAAAATTATATCGAGTATCGAATGTTGGAACGAGACTTTTCGTTTTCGAGCACGAGTATGATTTCTTGATTATTTTCCAGTATCGATCCAGTTAGAGTCGCTTATATCAAAATATAAGAATATCTCATTCGAGTATAGATTAATCTAAAAAAAATAATAGCGATTTTATTCCGCGCTTTTTAAAATGACTATAATAATTAAAAATCGTCGATCTCGTCGAAGAAATAGCGGTCGAGAGTGTGTTAAGACCGTCTCTGGACAATTTTCTCATTACTTCGATACCTTTACACTGTTCTTCGCGAAAGGTGAAATCACGGACGGTCTGTTTGATTTATTCGTTTGTCGCATGTTAACGTCGAAATTAAAAGGAGACGTTGCGTTGATGGAGATTGAGCCGAGCAAATATAAAAAGGAGAGAGAAAAGAAAGAAATTTAATCTCCTTATGCCCATTACTTCTCATCTAATTTACTTTAAGTGCTCCTTGCTCGATCCGTGTCGTGATTTCGGTGATAGCGATCCCGCGATTATAATCAACACCGGGAGTCGAATTAATCGTAGCCTCTTGCAATCGATGTGATTTTAAAACTATTAAATAGCAATGGTCGATGCTACAAACGAACAGATAACGACACACTCGTGGGATTATGATCGTTTCTATTATTTCACGCTCGATTATCAGCCACCGTTCGATAAAAAGCGAATGATTATGAAAGTATGTTAATGACTGATAAGTGTAATCGGCGAAATCATCGCCTCTAACGTGACTAATAATATTGCAAGACATCGACATGCATTATCGAATTTTGTAATCGACCAGAACGAAACAGAAATGATTAAGGAGTCTGTTTGGCTTGGATGTAATAAAAAATCAATTTCTTTTTTACATACTTTCTAAAGATTAAAGTGCTAAAAGCATTACCTTGTACAGATTGCGACTCACTTCGAAAAACTGGCAATATTATAGGATTCTGGATCGAACTCTCATTTTATAAATTGACGAATATAAATTTGAAATTTAACACGCATATAAATAGAAGTTCTATCGTTCGAATTAAAGACAACTTGATATATGAATATACATATCGATATAAGTTCCAAAATTTGGTGACAAAGTCGAAGTTTATTTTAAACGCTAGCTACAAGATAATAGTCTTTTCGATTGTTTGTTTTAACATGGTTAAAACAAATGTTACGTTAGCAATGAATATAAACTTTTTGTATATATTGTGCGCTACGAAATTAATTATTTATACTCGAGAAAATTCTCGTAGCTTGGAAGAACGTAAACTATACTCGAAACATAAAATTTCATAAATATCTGGAAAGTAATTAGATAAACCCTTTAACTTTTTCTGTTGCAATGATTTCGTATCGCATTGCTAAACTTGAGCCACGTAAGTGTTCGTATTTAAACTTCTCAATGATTTCATTTGACGTCATTCGCGTTTCAAGATATGATAAATAGTGACATCTTACAGTGAGTCATTAGTTCCGTTCAGACCTGGATAAAATAGTATTTTAATTAATAAATAGATAATATTTTATTTTAAACCGTACATGTACTTTTAAAAACAAAATTATTTCTGTTACGCGGTAAGAATATTTTCAATTATGAATGATTCATTTTGTTGAAGTAATACATCATTGGGCAACGTGTACACGAAAAAGAATTATGTTCATCGTTGAAACAATTTTTGTAATTCTTACATACTGTAATACAGAATTTCTAAATATTCTTCACCAAAATACATTAAAATCCCCCTATTTATTCAGGAGTTATGATGTTTCAAACCTATTTTCGAGGAAACATTTCTGGCCACACATTATATTTTCAGTAATGAATTTTTTTCTCGAAAGTGCGTAGGATTTCGGGATTATGTGTTTTGACCAAAAATGATTGCAAATGACTCCCGTAACCAAAAATAATTTTTCCAGAACGATTTAAAAGTTTTTTCGCCGAAAAATTTCTCCACCTACTTGAATTTTTTTCTCCAAAGTGCGTAGGATTTCGTGGGTATGTTTATTCTCCAAAAATGATTGTAACTGGCCCTCGCAGCCAAAAATAATTTTTCCAGAACGATTTGAAATTTTTTAATTTCG